CGAGCTGGCAGTCAGCACAGAGCCCGACGCGGGGCTCGAACCCACGAACCGCGAGATCATGACCCAAGCGAAAGTCGGACGCTTAACTGACTAAGCCACCCAGGCGCCCCTGAAATTTTTTTTTTAATTATTATTTTTAATTTACATCCCAGTGAGCATAGAGTGGAATAATGATTTCAGGAGTAGAATCCAGTGATTCGTCCCCTACGTAGAACACCCAGTGCTGATCTCAGCAAGTGCCCTCCTTAATGCCCCTCGTCCATTTAGCCCCTCCCCCACCCTCCACCCACCAGCAACCCTCGGTCTGTTCTCCATATTTATTTATTTATTTATTACATATTTTTATTTATTTCTAGGAGAGAGAGAGAGAGACAGTGTGAGCAGGGGAGGGTCAGAGAGAGAGGGAGTGACAGACTCTGAAACAGGCTCCAGGCTCCGAGCTGGCAGTCAGCACAGAGCCCGACGCGGGGCTCGAACCCACGAACCGCGAGACCATGACCTGAGCGAAAGTCGGACGCTCAACCGACTAAGCCACCCGGGCGCCCCATTCTCCATATTTAAGAGCCTCTAATGTTTTGTTCCCCTCCCTGTTTTTATATTATTTTCGCTTCCCTCCCTTTCCGTTCATGTGTTTTGTATCTTAAATTCCACGTATGAGTGAAGCCATAGGATGTGTGTCTTTCTCTGACTCATTTCGCTTAGCGTCATACCCTCCACTTCCATCCCCGTTGCTGCAGAGCGAAGCTTGAACTTCCTGAAAGCTCTGATAGAGGCTGCCGTCTTTACGCCACTGAAGAACGCATCAGGGAGTGGCTTTCACAGACGCTGACCTTGACCTCTGCCTCCCCTGCCTTGCAGGTGTACCACACCTTGTTCTGGCCTCTCGAGTGGACCGTGGCTGGCAGGGACAACAACACTTGCTACGCAAAGATAATTTGCAACAAATTCGACAATGTACGTAATCTGCGTGGAGGCTTAAAAGCCGTCATTTTAAGCTGTAGCTTTTAATCTAGGATTTTGGGGTTTGAATCATCTTTAAAAACGGCTTTCAGGGCAAGGCAGAAATCCTTCAAATGGTTACGCAGTTGCTGTGTTTGTAGAGGTTGAGCAAGTGATACCTTCTGAAAAACAAAATCACTGCAAGTTGTCTCTTTCCAGAGCAGCGTAGAATCGGATGATCTATGAAGGTTTTGGTGATCAACGAATAAAATGTAGGAAGTGGGCGTTCATGTGCAGTGTGTAAACTGTGCGTCCGAAGCCTTTAGAAAGAGATGGTTGCATGAAGTGAGAACTAGTTGAATGTTAAAAAAAAATTTTAACGCTTATTTATTTATTTTTTTTTAATTTTTTTTAATGTTTTATTTATTTCTAGGAGAGAGAGAGAGAGAGAGAAAGAGCGTGAGCAGGGGAGGGTCAGAGAGAGAGGGAGTCACAGACTCTGAAACAGGCTCCAGGCTCCGAGCTGGCAGTCAGCACAGAGCCCGACGCGGGGCTCGAACCCACGAACCGCGAGATCATGACCTGAGCGAAAGTCGGACGCTCAACCGACTAAGCCACCCAGGCGCCCCAACGCTTATTTATTTTTGAGAGACAGAGCATGAGCAGGGGAGGAGCAGAGAGAGAGGGAGACACAGAATCCGAAGCAGCTCCAGGCTCCGAGCTGTCAGCACAGAGCCCGATGAGGGGCTCGAATCCACAAACCAGGATATCATGACCTAAACCGCAGTCAGTTGCTTAAGTGACTGAGCCACCCAGACGCCCCTGAAAACTAGTTAATTAACTGATTCCTAATGAAGGTTTTCATCAAAGGAGATCAGTGGGATGGAGAGGCGGTCGTTGGAGGCTGTGTGTTACTGAGATGATTTGGAATTGATAACGGACACGTTCATTACTGTAGGTGAAAGCAGTTTACTCACAACTTGCTTCGTAAGGAACGCTGTGTGTAGAAGGCTGTAGGACTTGGTCTCTCCGTTTTTAAGAATTTATAATCTTGGAGCAAAAACAAAATTAGATAAATACAGACCCAACAACTGATGTTTGTATAAAGTTCACAGAGTAACCACCATCGTCATGTTTAAGCGCAGCCTCTGTGCCCGTGTGGTTCTCAGCCTAACAGGACAGGTGTCTCACGGCCAGTTAGCACGTGCCCCGTTGTCTGGGAGGTGCAGGCAGCCAGAGCTCCGGAGCAGGTGTGCAGGGCAGTGACGGGGATACTGGCCAGAACTTTCCAGAAATGCCCCAGGGCTGTGACGCGTTCACAGCTGTGCCCCCCGGGGGTGGTGGTAGTGGTGCGCTGCTTGTTCTGACCTTGGACGTGAGCGACCNGGGGGGGCTTCCCCGAGGGAGCGGGGGAGGCCGTCTGCACGCGCTACCTGAGTGGGATCGGGGCCGGGCTGGGAGAGCCCCTGCCGGAGCCAAGGCCAGCAGCCGCGCTTTCTGACCGCGCGACCGAGGTGTCGACTGCTGGCCTGGGGCAGAATCTCGAGGTCTGTTGGCCCCTCTTTGGAACCTGCTCACCCGCCCTCACAGCTCGGCCCCTCCTGTCACTCCTTCCCAAACTGCTGTTTCCAGAGCGTCGCCCTACTGCTCACTGTGGCTCCTGGAGAACATCATGAGTGAGGTTTCCCCTCCCAGACCTGCCTTCACTTATAAGTGCTTCCTGTCCTGACAGACCCGCTCCTCGCGTGCCCCGCGCGCCCTCCCTCCACGCAGGCCTGGGCACTCCTTGATCTCTGCGTGGTTAACGTCAGGAGCAGGGCAGCCTGCCGCCGTTGCATTATTCTAGCGTTGGACTTTAATTCAGATTTGTTATGTTGTTGTTTAGCACGATCTCAGCATAATTTGGAAATTTACATCACACTAATGAACTCCTTCATGCAGTGGGTAAATTGCTTGTTCTAGTAAATTTGAGTGCAAATTAACTCTGGATGTGCATTTACTGGCTCATTTAACAGATTCTTACAGCGGTTCAGTTTCACGATAATGTCCTCTGCTCAGTTCAGCTTTAGAGCGCTTTTTCTGGAGTGGGTGCCGTAAATGTTAACTGTGAACTTGCAGTAAATAGATTCCCGTTCAGGCCATTAACCTACTGGGTTTCTCTTCCTTGTGGTTGCGCATTAAAAGTATCGGGTGATAGGATTCCATGTTCTCGGACCGAATGCCGGTGAGGTCACCCAAGGATTTGCGGCTGCAATGAAATGCGGGCTCACCAAACAACTACTCGATGACACCATTGGAATTCATCCCACGTGTGGCGAGGTACGGAAATAGGTTTGTGTGTTCACTGATTTCAGTTGGCATCATTTGAAAAACCATCATAAAGCACAGTGTCAGAGAGATGTCACGTCCGCTGCTGCTTTGCGTATTTTTTTTTTAATGTTTTATTCATTTCTAGGAGAGAGAGAGACAGCGTGAGCAGGGGAGGGTCAGAGAGAGAGGGAGTCACAGACTGAAACAGGCTCCAGGCTCCGAGCTGGCAGTCAGCACAGAGCCCGACGCGGGGCCTGAACCCACGAACCGCGAGATCATGACCTAAGCGAAAGTCGGACGTTTAACCGACCAAGCCACCCAGGCGCCCCTGCTTTGCGTATTTAACGTAGATGTGTACTGTTCCGCACGTGTTTTCTTCAAGCAGTTCTGAAATGTCGGTGGCTACATATACATGGGTTTGGCTTTCTTCCTTTTGAACAGGTGTTCACCACGTTAGAAATCACCAAGTCGTCGGGACTAGACATCACCCAGAAGGGCTGCTGAGGCTAGCCCCGCTGCCGTGCGGCCGACCTTGTCCCATCCCGTTCCTGTTGAACGTGAGGATGCCCTCGCACACCGAGTCTGTGCTCGCACACTGCTCTCTTGCGCAGGGATCAGCTCGGAGACGGGAAGGACAAGGAGACCGGACAGCAGCGGGCGCGTGCTCGGCGGCCTCGGCTGGCTGGGAGAAGCAGGTGGCCTGCCTGCTTGACGCCTCAGCTCGGAACCCGTTGACAGGTGAGCTGAGGCCGATGGTCTCCCGCGTCAGAGTCGAGCTTCCCCTCGAAGGACCTCGCCAGCGCGCAGCTGATCCGAGTTCAGTTTTTCGGCGGCTGGTGTTGTTACCCCCTTGCCTCGTTGTGTCTGTGCAAGCGTTTCTCGGTTACGAAGCCGACTGTCAAGCGGCGACCCTGCAGTTCGTGGGCCTGGAATGCGGCGTGGTGGCTGATGGGCGGCGTCCCCGAGAGGCCCGCCAGGCGCCGGCTGCGGCCCGTGCATTCCGGGACGTCGCCCGCGCTGCGCAGGTTTCAGTCTTCGGACGCTTTACCCACATCACCCCTGGCCCGTGCCTCACCCCGTCCTGGTTCCCGGTGGCCACAACCTTGGAGTCCTCTGTATCAGCGCCGCCTGTCCGAGACCTGCTCTGTCTCTTCTGCACCTGATCTTAAGAGTGATATTAAAAAGTTTTCAATACTGTTCGATGGGAAGTCTCGCTAATTTGAAACTGTTGAGAAGGATTCAATCCTACCCGTTTAGTTATGGTCACACTCAGTAAATGAATTGGGGGCAGGAGATTCCACTTGAATCTGCACATCTGGCAGCATCTAAAAGGCCCTTGGAGTGGGGGCACATCCGAGGTCCTTTTGGACAGTCTGTGGTTTTCTGGGGGAGCGCATCACGGAGCGGTCCACCGCAAAGGATGCAGCCAGGGCTCTCTTGCACAGGACCTCAGCCATTCGCCCAGTGTCATAGGATTGGACAGTTCTGGGCATGTTTTAACCATTTAACCAACTGAGTCACCCAGGTTCTGGGCATGTTTCAAAAATAAAAATTTTAGGGGCTCCTGGGTGGCTCAGTTGGTTAAGCATCCGACTTTGGCTCAGGTCATGATCTCACGGTTTGCGGATCAAGCCCCGTGTCAGGCTCTGTGCCGACAGATCAGAGCCTGGAGCCTTCTTCAGATTCTGTGTCTCCCTCTCTCTCTCTGACCCTCCCCTGCTCACACTGTCTCTCTCTCTCTCACAGAAATAAATAAAACATTAAAAAAAAATTTAAGGAGCCGCCTGGGTGGCTCAGTTGGTTAAGCGCCCGACTTCAGCCTAGGTCACGATCTCGTCGGTCCCGAGCTCGAGCCCCACATCAGGCTCTGTGCTGACAGCTCACAGCCTGGAGCTGCTTCAGATTCTGTCTCCCTCTCTCTCTGCCCCTCCCCCACTCATGCTGTCTCTCTCAAAAATAAATATTTTTTAAAATGTTTAAAGAAAAACTTTTAAGCTGGGAAACAACATCTGTAGATGAGCATTTGGCTGCCCTCTCTGGAGGCAGGGAGTAGAGAGGGCTGGGGTGAGGTCGGGGACCCACTGAGCTGACGGAGGATCCAGTCGACGAGTTGTTTTTTTTTTTTTAATTGGGGAAAGAAAGATACAAATTTAACTGCCCGAAAAGTAAGGCGAGGTGTAGCCGTTGCTGTAACTGAAGTAGGAATAGTGGTGAAAGGGGCGAAGATGCTAGTAATTTCCACTGGAAGTGGGGGTGGGGGGTTGAATGATCAGACTTTAATGAAGGCAGCTGTATTTGAACTGAACCCTGAGGGATGAATAGGATGTCAAAGATTTGCAGCGACCTGGAGCGGCTCTGGATGATGCTTTGGGGGGTGCAACTAAAATTCTCGATAGACGGTCGTTACTGCATTGCTGAGCACCACGTACATACACACAGCCAAGGGTTGGCAGGACCCTGGGTGAAGTGAAACTAAGAAGCCTGGGAGTGGGTTCTGCCTTTCACTGAGCATAGTACCAAAAACCTTAAAGCCCAGGTGAGGTTTCGAACAGGAAACGTTGGGCAAAGCTGAGACCCCAAGGGGCTTATACCCCCTGTGGGAGGGTGAGTGTAAAACTGTGCTTCCCAGAAAGAAGCAGCAAGAGAACTTGGCTGTGTTCTTAGGAGAAAGGAAATAATTCACCTAAAGAATTTTAGCCACTGTCCAAGTAACAGACCGCTGGGAAGGCTAGTTTTCTTCCTTTTGCAAGAAGGAGATTGGACTTAGATGTAAACCTATCTGTAATTGGCCCCCCAGCCTTCATCTCTTTCCTCTAATCTCCTCTCCTGGGGGAAGATGGGTCGCACATAATGGTGACAGGAAGATAAAACTTGTATGCACCTAGTAACATGCAGGTGCATACAGATTTGTAAGGAAAAATCAACATCCTCTATCATAGTGGAGATAGTAATATTCCTCAATAATTAGATCAAACACAAGAAAAGTCCACAAAAATGTAGATTTGAATCACACAATTAACAAGCTCAGTTCAATGAATTTAGGAAGAAGATACATTCAACGCGAACACTTACTCATTTCACGCACGCTTTGAATATTTATGAAGTCTGCCCGTGCTAGCCTCAGCACATTTCAGAAGACCGGTGTCACAGAGGCACTGGACAAAAAGATTTCAGCTGTGGGACTAAACACTATGAACCTGGAGACCTTGAAATCCATACAGTATGGTGGTCAGTGGAGTATGGAGGTAGCGTGAGTTGAGTGAGGGGTCAGAGGGAGATGAAGCTGGAAGGAACTAGCTTAGAGCCAGACACCGGTCAACAAGAAGTGAGGCATTCCGGAAAAATCCTAGACTTTGAAGAACAATAGACTTGGGAATGCCTGGTCCTGACTCACGATATATCACAGAATAAGTTGCTCAACTTAGATTATTCATTTATTAAGGGTGGACAATATTGCCGATTTCACAGACGTAAAACGGTTGAATGCTTATTACGTGCCTGATATTCTACATATCCAGGTAGGATATCTTGGCTTCTGTGATGATGAATACGGGCCATGTTGAGAAAAATGCTTGTAGACACACAACAGTAGAGCCAGTAGATAGGCTGACGGGAGAAATACTGACCAGTCAGTGCCTTGGCAGTCTTCACCGCGATGGGCAGCCTCCACGCTGGCTCCCAGGTTGGACTCCCCACTGCACGTAGTCACATCCTGTGTGGTCTCCTCCTCTGTTGTGCCAGGGTTGGTCTCTGACCAGTAGCCTCTGACACCATTGGTGGGAGGCATCTCTAAGATTAGGCCATACAAGGACTGCAGCTTAAGTTCTGGTCACTTGTGCACCCTCCTGGATTGCTTTCTCTGGGAGAAGGTAGCAGCCGTGTCGTGAAGAGAGGCCCAGATGACGAGGAACTGAAGTTTCCAGCCAGCAGCAAGGAACTAAGGTCTCCAGCAGCGTCCACGTGAATGAGCTCGGAACTCATTCACTCGGAATACGTCCCGGGCACACTTTGCCCTAGCTAGCAGCTTGTCGGCAATTTCATAAGATTTGGGGCCAGTGACTTTGGGCTACGCCCTGAGTCCTGGCCCTCAGAAACTGTGAGATAATAAATCATTGTTTTTCAGTCTAAGTTTTGGGGTGATTTGTTACAGCGATGGATACCTCATGTGTCCGCCAGGGAAAATTAAAAGTACAAGTCTGATCAGATAACTAAAATGTTTGGGGGACTTTTCCCCTAGGGCAGACAAAATAAAACTCCTATAGATTGGGGGTCTCAACAAAAAGGGATTGGAGCTCAAAATTAGCCCTAAACTCCACTCATCACCATGGAGAAAGAAACCCCGAACAGGGAAGTTCAAGAGGGTTCGGTGAAGTGCCTTCTGAGTCGGTGGTCTTGGGCTGCGGTTGTGGTGGGTCCCGGTTAACCTTCCGGAGCATCCATGATTGTCAAAGCTCACATTTAAAAAACCTGGAGTTGTGGCGTCTGGGTGGCTCAGTCGGTTAAGCGTCCAGCTTCAGCTCAGGTCATGATCTCACGGTTCGTGGGTTCAAGTCCCGCATCGGGCTCTGTGCTGACAGCTTCAGATTCTGTGTCTCCCTCTCTTTCTGACCCTGCCCTGCTTATGCTGTCTCTGTCTCTCAGAAATAAATAAAAAACATTTTAAAAAATCATCTTTAAAAAAAAAAACCTGGAGAAGGGCACCTGGGTGGCTTAGTTGGTTCAGCTTCTGACTTCAGCTCAGGTCATGATCTCACAGTTTGTGGGTTTGAGCCCCACGTCGGGCTCTGTGCTGACAGCTCAGATCCTGGAGCTACTTCAGATTCTGTGTCTCCCTCCCTCTCTCTTTTCCCTCTCCCAGCTTGCACTCTCTCAAAAATAAACATTTTTTAAAAAAATTAAAAAACCTGTAGAAACCTGTTTATCATACAGAGCTGAGTTCATTAAACTTAGCAAGCGAGAGCGCTGCCTTCACAGAGTCTCGATGTCATCTCAAGTGGGACCTAGGGATTTGGGAGGTCAGGGTTAGCTCAGGCGTAATCTTACACAACAGAGGTTGGTAAGTGGGTCTGGGCAGCAGTTGGCCAGAATTTGTAATTGAGGCCAGCTGCTTGAATGGTGTCAGTGCTCTTCTCTTTAGAAATTGGGGCATATGAGGGGCGTCTGGGTGGCTCAAGTCGGTTAAGCGTACGACTTCGGCTCAAGTCATGATCTCACGGTTCATGGGTTTGAGCCCCACGTCGGGCTCTGTGCTGACAGCTCAGAGCCTGGAACCTACTTCAGATTCTGTGTGTCTCTCTCTCTCTGCCTCTTCCTTGCTCATGCTCTGTCTCTCTCTGTCTCTCAATAATAAATAAACATTAAAAAAAAAGAATTTGGGGTGTATGAGGCCATATTGTGCTCCGGTTCCTGTAGTCTTCTCTTGAAACATAGAGCTCTGTGTGACCTCGTGTTACGACAGTTCAAGCTTAGATAGCTTGTGTGATGTGGTTTAGACCCCTGTCTGGTTTTGAGTAGTAGTACAGGTTTTCAGTTACTGGTCTATTTCCCAGTGAAGAACCAGTCAGTGATTCGAAGCAGGGTGACAGAGACCTGTTAGGAAGTTAGTGCAAGAGATCACCAAATATTTATGCAGACTTCTGCTTCCACCCATGCTGGAATACCATGGACTGGATGTCTTATCTCACCATCAACTCTCTGGGGGAACATGCAATGACTACAATCAGCCTTGGAACAACAGTGCAGGACTAGGATCCTCCAGAGAAGGGAAACATGAGGTGGTCCCTCCAGTCACCCCACATCTCTGCAGGTAAGTCCCCTTCAGACTACAGATACAAGGGAGAACTCAAACAGCCTGCTGTTCTGCTAACTTGAGGTGGAGGCTGGAGTTCAGGGAGGTTGAGGCAGCTGGAAGTTGTGGGTTGGATGCTATGCAGACAAGAGCTCCAGAAATCTGCAGCAGGATCCCCTCGGGTCTTTTCTGAACACCAAGCTACACATCCTCAGAGTAAAATTTCAGAAAGTAAGGCAAAAAATTAATGAGTTGTACGTTTGGCACAAGTCTCAGAAGGTGAGGGAAAATTCTAACTGAAAACAGAGGAGAGTCTTCAGTAATACCCCAGGCAGTAAGAGGAGACCCCCTTATGGGATCCTGCCTTAGTAGTAGATTGAACTATCCGAGGAGGGAAATCTACTGTAGACC